CGGAACTCGGGAATGCCTAACACCTTCTCCCGGGTTAATAGAATTCCTTATCCGGATTTCTGTATGCATACTGTAATATGGAGTCATTCTTTTCCTCGATTCGGGATTAAAATTGGTGACTTGGGACACCCTAAATCTCCCAAGTGGCGACTCTGAAATAAATAAATAAATCCCGTTTCGATTGCCCTTTAATTGGAAAAACTCCCTTGTACCCTCGCGGGGTTGGAAAAAGGAGGTGTGACAGTCCTCATCACCATGCACAACTATTTCCTGTCTGTCCCATTCAAACTTCACCATTTGGTGCAGAGAAGACGGGACTGCCTTAGCAGCATGTATCCAGGGCCTGCCCAACAACAGATTGTTGTAGACAGCCACATCTAACACTTGGAATTCCATGGTAAACTCAACTGGCCCTATCGACAATTCGAGCATTATATCTCCAACAGAATCTTTACCTCCCCCATCAAAGCCTCGAACACACACACTGTTCAAGTGGATTCTTTCGGTGCCAATCTTCAGTTTTTGCAGAGTAGACAGGGGACAAATATTTGCACTGGAGCCATTGTCAACCAAAACTCCTGAGACAACAGAATCTTCGCACTTTACCGTGAGATAAAAAGCTCGATTGTGTTCTGTACCCTCCACAGGAAGTTCATCGTCCGAGAAAGTGATCCTAATTTCTTCGAAGATCTTGCCAGCTATCTTTTCCAAGTGGTTCACTGTGATCTTATCAGGAACATGTGTCTCATTCAAAATCTTCATCAAGACCCTGCGATGTTCATCTGAATGTATCAGCAAAGACAAAAGAGAAATCTAAGCTGGTGTTTTCCTTAACTGCTCCATAATGGAATAATCCTGCACTTTCATCTTTTTCAGGAACTCCTCAGCCTCTTCCTCGATGATCGATTTCTTTATTGGCATTTGGCTATCCTTGAATGGCCTGACTTTCCTTAATTCTTCTGGGGTGAAACATCTCCTAGAACGAGTCAATCCTCCAGTTTCATTAACTTTTTCCTCTATTTGTTTTCCTTTGTATGCCACTATCACTTGTTTATAATTCCACAGAACAGCCTTGGCTTCCACCACTGGCAGCTGGGTTACCAGTTTAATAATGATAGGGGTAATAGGAGCCTCCTTCACAACTATGACAGGCTTACTTGGAATCCCTGGTACTACCACTTTTGAACTTTCCGGACTTGCCCCGATATCTTTCGACAACCCTTTCACGACCAACACTGGTGGTTTCGAATTGAGTGAGCTCGGCTTTTCTGCCACCCCTTCAACTATCAAGGGCATTGCTTTGGTAGAGTCTGGAGCTTTAACCAAATTACTTTCACTGGCCCCAATTATCATGATGGACTTAGAAGACTTCTTGGGCTCCCCATCCCTGTGAACTATTTCAATCATATGTGTCTCTCCATGGGCTGGCAAAGGGTTTTGGTTGATGTTTGGCACGTCTGGGCTTTGGACTACAATTTGGTTTGTATCAATGAGCTCCTGGGTTGCCCTTTTCAAATGCCAGCACTTCTCTATGTCATGCCCTGGAGCATCAGAACAATAGGCGCACCTCAAGGAATAATCGAGGTTCTTTGGAGGAGGATTTGGTATCTTTGACTCAACCGGCCTCAAGACGTCTAACTGTCTTAACCTTTGAAAAAGACTAGCATAGGATTCTCCAAGCGGGGTAAAAGTTTGTTTTCGGTGCTGTCTCTCTCTTCTATACTCTGGCCTTGTTCGAAAATTTGAACCATTAGGGTTTTGGTAAGGTTGTGGAGGTGGATAGGCATTTTGTGGAGCTGGGTAGGTATTCTGTGGGACTAGGGCACGCCATTCTGGGTAAGGAGGGGGTTGATCATATGCCTGTGCATGGTGAATAAGGTATTGGGATGGCCTAACTGAGTGTTGAGGGTTTTGCGGGGAAAAGTAATGTTGAGGTGGATTATACGGAGCTGGGGCGTAGGTTTGAGGTCGGGGTCGAGGATGGGTGTACTGATGAGGTGAACTCGTCTGGCCATGCCATGATCCGGAGACAACCATAACGACATCTTCCTTCTTCTTCTTGCCTAGCAAACTTCCGGTCCTCTTTGGATTGCCTGGGTGGTTGCTTTTATAGCAGAATAGCTCATGATCTTACTCGACTTGAGCCCCTCTTCCACCATTTCTCCCATCTTTACCACATCATTGAAAGACTTACCAATGGCTAAGATCAAGTGGCTATAGTAAGTGGGCTCCAGGGCTTGAAGAAAGTATTTAACCATCTCATCTTCTTCCATCGGAGGATTGACTCGTGCAACTTGCTCCCTCCTTCGGAACCCATATTCTCTAAAGCTTTCACTAGGTTTCTTTTCCACCTTGGTCAAATATGGGCGGTCTAGAACAATGTCTATATCGTACTGAAAGTGCCGGGCGAAGGCCTGAGCCATATTGTCCCATGTGTACCACCTGCTAGCGTCCTGGCGGGTGTACCATTCTAAAGATGCCCCATTCAGACTTTGGCTGAAGTATGCTATTAGCAATTTGTCTTTTCCCCCAGCGCCCCTCATTTTACTGCAATAACCCCTCAAATGAGCTACAGGGTCCCCATGTCCGTCATACAAGTCAAACTTGGGCATCTTGAACCCGACAGGCAGTTGGACATCGGGGAACAAACACAAATCCTTATAGGCCACACTCACCTGGTTTTCCAACCCTTACATATTTCTCAATGATTTCTCCAGACTCTGTACCTTCCTAAATATCTCTTCTTGCTCTGCGTTCTTGGGTGGTTTGTCAGTTTCAACATGAGGCTCAAATTGGGGAGTGTAAGAGTAAGAATCTGGGACTTTGAAGGTGGGCTCCGGTGCATAGTAGTGGGCATCTGTAGCGGGGAATGCGGGCTCACTATAGGATCGGTAGAGGGTAGCTTGTGGAGGGGGTACAAAAATAGGAGCAGATGTCGTAGCAGGGTACGAGGTTGTTTTGGCTGGCGGAGCATGAACAATTTGGGCTGAAGTGCCGGGGTAGTTGTGGTAAGGGGTAAAACTAGGTGCGTGTTGTGGGGAAAGATCAATGGTATTGGGAATCTGGGATTGAGAGAGTGGTGGAATGGAAGTAGGGTTTTTTGTGTAGTTGGTAGGGAACGAGGGTGGAGGGTGTCCCTTAATCCAGGCCTGATACATTTCCGCCATCTGGTGCTTCAACCTCCGGACCTCCTCTTGCAATTCTGATTCCGACTCAACAATCTCCCTTGGTGGGTCTACAACTCCAATGTCTTTTTCCTTGCTAGCCATGACTGTTTGGCGCTTTGATCGGGTGTTGTATGGATGACTTGCCAGGATGCCAACAAACTAACCACCTTTCTGTTATTAAATAAAGATAACAGAGGACTACAACACAAAACCACCACGTTAGCGTTAGGGCATTTATCAAATAATAATATCACATTACGTTCAATGTACCTAGCAACAATTAACGGTTCTAAAATGGCTTTGAGGGTCGTAGGGTCATAGGGCATCATCCCGATTTGCTCATTTTGATCCTTCCTTCTCTTTCTTTTCCAACACCTCTTATCCCTTTTTCTCTTTTATCTCTTCTCTCTCTCTCTATCTCTTTTTTTGAACCAAAAATGATTTGACTGAACCCACTGTAGGTTGCCTACGTATCATGTCCCTCATGAATCAGACCAAGCGTAGTTATGGAAAAGTGATAGAAAATAAATTAAAACTAAAAACTTTTTGGGATTTTTTCATTTAAAAACTTTTCGATATTAAAATACAATGGGAAGTACGATAATGAAAGACATGACAGACTCGACTACACTATGAGAGACTCTGACACTACCTAAAGGACCCAGTACTCCTAGACAAGTCGCGAAAGTAAAAGACAACATAAGACAATCTCCAAAAAATCTAAATAGAATGACTCCTCAAGCTGCTCCTGAATGCGACGGTTTTAGCTGGGATGGGTCCGATGAAGATCCGGATGGCCCCGTCAATCCTATCAAATCTAAGGTTTGTATTATACCCTGCAAGGACACCTCGATGCTGGGAATAGGAATCCTGGAATGCGTGCCTACATCTAGAAGGCTGACTCTCGTAAGGTACTCACGGTGCTATCCCATGTTCTTTACCAACCCTGCCAACTGTGATCTCAGTGACTGAAGTGTAGCTCAAACCCCAACCCTTTCTGCTGCATAGGCCTCCTCCGCCTGGGTAATCGATCCATCAACTATCTAGGCAATATCCATGAGGTGGACTCCTCATCAAATACTCCTCTAACACGTCGGGGCAATGGCCTGCTAACCCCCCGCTGAGTAGACTGTAGCCATATGAAGTACTCATAGGTATACCCAGGTGAATGTTGGTCAGCAGCTAAAGTATCCCTACCCATCTTCATTGCACGATGCCAATAGGTCTAGATGTCGACCTCCATATGCAGCATAGTGTCAAATTCCTTAATGAAGTCACGAGAATCAAGAATGTAGGGGACTTTTTGCCGCCTCCCTAACTGACGCATCACTCTAGCAGGGGTATATGGTCTAGTACACCAAAGTCCGATCAGTACCAAGAAGTCTTGCATGCGAGACCCTGCTAAGATCACGTCCAAATCAATCCATAGGTATGACCACAAAATTTTCTCTTCAGTCAAGGATCCTAAATAATCAACCCAATCCTGAACTCCGAGTGGTAAGGCAAACTTATCGAACGTCATCCTATGCTCGATGCACTTCATTCGATCTCTCAGACAACGATCAATCACATCTTTCTTAAACATGGTGGCAGGATGTAAGTGTTCTATCATCCACAGCTGTAGCAACAAGTTGCTTCCCTCAAAGAACCTCCCACCTTCTCGAATCCTGGTCAAAGCACGATAGATCTCTGCCAAAATTGTCGGAACCACGGTGACCTTACCACTGTGTTTATCATGGAAGAATTCAAAGTCTATTGACCCCAGACGCATGCTAATATGTACACCCTCCAAAGGAAATACCATGAGACCCAACAATGCAATAGCGAAGACCATAGGACGCCTCTTCTTCCAAGAATCATATGATATGGAAAATTCATCTATGAAGGTCTCATACCCCGTAGGACGAGCAAACCTCTCGAATAAAAAGTCCAAAGGTACCCAAGATTGATCTATACATCCCATGCGAGTTTCCAAATCCATCCCTATGATCTTAAGGAACTTGGTGCTTGAATGAGCCCTTGTGTAAATTAAATCCTTGTCTAGGTATGGCAGGCAGGTTAACCCGGCTATCTCATCTAAGGTGGGTGTCATCTCAAGATCACCAAAATTGAATACCATTCCCTGTGGGTCCCAAAATGTCAACATTGCTTCTACAAGGTCGGGACGGGGAGTGATGTCCATCAAAGAAATAAGAGTCCCTAATTTACCCATCAAATCATATTGCTCAAATAATGTGAACATGTTCCACCATTTTACTAGCCTTCTAGGGACTTTGACCACCATTGATACTCTAGCATTGGTGAGTGGATCCATACCTGAATTAGAAAAACATGGTTAATGACTCAAGACATTATGTGACACCGCGACATTTCCTAGGGGACGGTTGGGCTATTTATGCAAAATGGCCTGAGGGGCCAAAAGTGGCTAAATGCAAGCTCAAGAAAGGTGACCTCAAAGACATGGGAATACCTCACTAAAGCTTATATGAATTCTAACTCTTAATAATCATGGCCCAAAATTAATTTGCAGAAATTACCCGTTTTGCAAAAACAGCTGATATGGCCAGAAGTGGCTAAAGATGCAAACTTGAAAAGGACGGACCTTAAAATAATATGACACCTAGTTGTGGACTCAAGATCCTAAGACATGGGTTATTGAACCACCTTTGCGAAAATGACCCCAATTTGCAAGAATGGCCGAAAGTGGCTAGAAATGCAAGATATGGCTAAGACCCCGCAAAGCCAAGAACCTAAGATACTAGGAAGACTGGACCCTATGTGGGTTGCCTACGTATCACATCTCGAAAGATGAGAATCAGGTTCGTCTAGTTCGGGAAGATTGAACATGGGATAAAGCCTTCAAAAAATGCAACTAATTTGGAAAACCATTTTTTTTTTGTCTTTTGAGAAATGATGGAAAATGTAAAATATTTTTGGACTTATTTTTCTTTTTTTTTTTTGAATTTTTTTGGAAAATGATAAAAGATGTAAAATCTATTTGGGATTTTCTTTTTCTCCCTTTTTTTGAATTTGTTTTTTTGGAAAATAATGGAAAAGTGTAAAATCTTTTGGATTTTCTATTTTCAATTTTTTTGTCTTTTTTTTTTGGAAAATAATGGAAAAGTGTAAAATCACCTACTTCATTTTATATTTCACCCTCAAATATCCTTGGTCCGCCAAATAACCATTTTACCCCTAAAGAGATGCAACATGTAGCACATAGGGATGATTAAATGTCTTTTTGGGCCATAGCCCATTTTGACATAATTTGGGTAGGCCTCCTACAACGGGACACGGTGCCTGGGACCGAACCCGGCTAGGTTTGAATGATATGATGCACATAAGTATGACCTAAAGGCTGACCTACGGTTGGGGTTCACTAGACAAGGCAATTCGGGGCGGCGCGTGGTCGATGACGGCTGCTCTAGCTGTCCGCCCACCCCACACTCCTACGCCACCCCCTATAGATACGGGTGACTCACAAAAAGGCCGTGTATGCACAAACGTACTCCGGAAGATTTGTTACAGAAAGAAGACTCATGGTTATGCAAATGATGACAATTTATAAAGCAGTAACACATAAAGGAAAAACTGTAAATAAATAAACAACTAGCAAATAAAAACGACATAAACAAAATAAAAAGCAAACGAAACACATAAAAACCTCAACTGAATATCCTAAAAACCAACAAAATCAAGTACTAGCTCGAACCTACTTGTCCCCAGCAGAGTCGCCAGAGATGTCACACCCCTTTTTAACCAACCTTACTAAACCCCCTTAAATAAATAAAAAGATTGTAGTAAAGCTGAAAAAGATTTTCAATTTCTGAAAGTGACAAAGATTGTATTCAAAAGGAAAACTCAGAGTCGCCAGCTGGCATTTGATTTCGGTGTGCTAGGCCACCGGTTTTTTAGAAAATATTTTTCCTTTAAAACACTTGGACTCAAAGCTAAGTCCGCACTAGAGGTTTGGGTAAGGGGGTTCATTTGACTCGGGGAGAAGGTGTTAGACACTCCCCAAGTCCCGTAACTAGTACGGTTGCGTATCCAATCTAGTTGGCTTTTAGAATATTCTAGTTAAGGTAAAATCACAGAAAAGCAGAATAAACACACACAAGTCTTGAGGTCGTCCCCGCCTAATAAAAGAAAATAAAAAGGAAAGGAAAAGAAAAATCTTAGGCTAACCTATACTACGACTTCTCCACCATGCTCGTCAAGGCCTCCAGAATATTTACATAGTTCTTCGGGGCATACCTCGGATAATAATATATACAAACCCATCGGGGCATTCCCTGGATAAATTCAATTAGGGGAATGACCTCTTGCCACGAAATTAAAAGCAAACAAATAGAAAAATTCTAATATTGCCTACTCGAATGTTGTCGGCCTAAGCATGCTCCTAGCGAGTGATAAAGGAATAAACAAGAGTAATAAGATATTTAAGGTCCAATTCCTCCACCATGTTCAATTTCACATTCCACAGGCATGACAGACAAATATTTAAAAAATATAGAAACTAATGAAAAACTAAAAGAGTAACGACAAATAGGCGAAGAACAATGGGTTAGAGTCGTGAGTCTTGGAAGGCACACTAAACAGACTACTGATAATAATATCATATCTAAAGCAATCAAATGATGTCACCATATGAAATACTGCAAACTTGATCCTTAAAGTGGCAATATGGCTAAAGAGACGAAATTGACCTTTAGAAAACTAATTAAGAAAGAAAGGCGCAAAAAGGGGGAAAATTAACGACATAATCCTCAAAATTTCCATATCCTTACCATCTCGATTCCCAAACTAACACCATTCCATTTCACTCTCCTATGCGCTAAATTTGTGATATTCAGCAGAGGATGAACAAAACTTCTAAATGAATACTAAACTCAAACAAAGCCAACTAATACGACACTAAGTTCGAACAAAACTTTAAGCAGATTGCCAAATTTCTTTTAACAGATGTAATATGGAACTAATGGAGAATCTAAAAAAGCTAAAGATATATTAGCTAGACACTATGTAGATAAACCCTTTTAAAAAGAAAAACTACAAAAACAAGTGTCGATTTATGTAAAAACAGACCCATTGTACAAATTTCATATTTCCATTTTTTGAGTCATTCAATATCATAAGAGCAGGCATACTGCTAAGCTTCGTATAGAATTTCAACAATATTGGTAAAGGAAAAGTACGTGAACAATCACAAAGGCAAAGATGCAAGCACCTTAAACACATCTGAACGAAAGTATCGCCGAAAGATAAGACTCAAACACACACTCAACACAACGCAAACTAAATCAGAGAGAAATTAAACAAGGCTTCAGAAATTACTAATGGCTTAAGCCAAGCAACAATTACTTTGTTCCACATATATTCAAGTAGAGAAGAGAAAAGTTTAAAATGAACCTGAAAATGCAGCTTCAATTAACAAAATTTCTGCAGTTACAACCTTGGATCGAGCGAATCCGGAACAGAGAAACTCAGCAGGATCTTCGAACAGAAACCACGAGCCACGACCCGAAACATAGCGGCGACTCCAATAATTCGAACACCACCAGAGTTCAATCAAACTCCATGCTTAAATCAGAACTGGAAAAATGAACTATATTTATTTTGTGTTGTTCTTTTTTTTGATTTTTCTGACTTCTAAAAATATAAACAAGAACCAGAAAGAGCTAACTTTTTTTTTTTTTGAAAATATTTTCTGATTATCAACACGAAACAGAACCCTTTTTTTTATCTATGAACAAACTGAAAATTAGATTAAGAGGAGGACTCAAAATCAAAACCCCAAAACCCTAGCTTTTCTCTCAAGAAATCCCTCCCCAAATCTGAAAACGAACCCCTTATATATCGAACCTAGAAACCTCTAGCCTTTATCTCCAAGGAACCGAAAAATCTCTCAACCAAGTAAGCGCGCGGTTGAATGGAAGGCTAGGATCGATTTAGATCAATCCCACGTTTCCCATTCGTCCAATCACATACTCGAAGAAGAAAGAAATTAGTTCGAGAATATTCTTCACGTGGTTTGGATGAAATGGAGAAGAGAGAGAGAGAGAGAGAGAGGTTGGGGGGACCAGCAAACTCAGCGAGACGATTCGCCCGATTTTGGGTGTGATTCGGGCAAGTTGGACATGGTTGTGCGGCGGGAGCTTCATGTAGGAGAAGGGTGGGTCAGTGGGTATATTAGATTTAGGGTTTGTGAAATATTAGGTTTTACATGGGGGTGAGGATTAATCTCGTCCATAGGATTAAAAGGGATGAATGGCTGAGATTAAAAATTAAAACGGGGCGGGTTCTGGGTCCATCCGGCGGGTCAAAGGGTTGGGTTAAGGAAGGGAATGGGTGCCCGATTTTGGGCTTCTACTTGTCCAAATTGGGCCTCTAAATTTGGATTCCTTCAATTTTTAAAAGGTCCATTAAAGGACAAACTCAATTTCTTAAATTAAAACTAAACTAATTTCAATTAAATAAACTATGTGATAATATGAAACTATATATATTTTTTAATATATCTTATTTTATATAAATTAAAAATAAAAGTGAAAATCATAGTAAAAAGAAAATATATGTATATAAAAATCTTAATAACCTAAACTACATAGAAATAAGGTAAACATGAAACTATATATAGATATTTATTAATTTAATTTTTTTTGTATTTTTCAAGAATTATACTAAAATAAAAATATAAAAACTATGGCAAACTTAGCATAATACTACTATAAAAATACTAACGAACTTAAATAAATAAAAACAAAAACAAACATATTTAATAAGATAGATTGAAACTTTCCTTTTTTTTCTTTTCTCTTTTTTTTTTTTAATTTGATTTGAAATTAAAAATAAAATAGGCTAAAATTATATAATAACTCAAGTAGATATTTTAAAACATAAAAATACGAAAACTAACTTTAAAACTGTGCGACTCAAAAATTACATGTCTACAGACGATGTGGAATTCTTACTACAAACGTGTCAGAGTCCTTCAACGGGTTATTGAAGTCGGCAAAGGGATTGCCCGTCACAGCCATGGTGCGGATGTCGTTCAAGCAGATGGCGGAGAGGTTTGTTGAACGGTCTGCAGCTGCAACGGAATTGATGGAGAGGGGTGTTGAATTTATGCCAGTGCCTATGAAGAGATTTGAGAAATACAAACGGCGAGCACATTGGCATTCATATTTGCAGTATGATAACGAAAGAGGTGTTTTTGAAGTTCGCGCCGCTATCCATAATAATCGGGGTAATAATATACATACTGTAAATGAATCTGCAAGGTTATGCTCCTGTGGGAAATGGTCCATCTACCACATGCCTTGCTCACATGCCATCAAGTGTTTTCAATTGGTTATCGGTTTATCGATTTTTGTCGATTTTGATTTCGAAATTTTCCTTATCGAGTTATCGAGTTCGATTTCGATTTTGTCCTCTTCGGTTATCGGTTTATCGATAAACCAATAAGATATACTAATAAGACAAATATACCCTTATTCTATAATACCATTTCCTTTACCCTAAGTCCCAAACCCTATTATGTCCTCTACCCATTCTTCAGCGTCGCTTTTACTTTCTCCCTCTCTCCCGCGAACTGCAAACCCAGCAGAGAAAGTGAACTCCGGCGTACTCTGGCGTACTCCGGCGACTTCAATAGTACGTTTCTCCCTCTCTCTCCGTGCCTTTGGTGGCATACATTTGATCCCTTACTTTAGTTTCGTTGCATGTGCTTGTTGACACAATTTTTATGTTATAAACGGTGTTCGTCTTATTTTAGCTTCTTTTTGTCCATATCAGTTAGGCGTGTTTATAGCGATATATTTTCCATGAAATCCCGCAAATTTTCTTATTGATGTAATCGATAAGCCCCAAAAATCGATAAATCGAAACCTTATTGAAACGATAACGATAAGCATATGTACAAATCCATAATCGATAAGGATCAAAATCGATAATCGATAAATCGAATGTACACCCCTATTTTTAAGTATTTCCTTTTTTACAAGAATTTAAGTTACATATACAGATAATGTAATGAATTTTTTGCACAAGTACTGTAATTTAACTTAGTATAACATGTGATTTAACATTTGCTCTAGGTTATTAAATAATGTTATTAAGAAGAGTAAATTTTAATTACTTTTTAAATGACCTGATTGTGTAAATATTTATTATAATGTCAATACTTTAGAAAGGACAAATTTGGAACTGTCTCGAGGCAATATATTTAACTATTGAAATATCTTAAACTTTTCTTGGCCACGTACAATTGTAGAAATTGCAGATAAAAAGGATAAGAATTCAAATAATTTCAAATCAAATACTCATATAATATTATATTACTTGAGCACATTATCCAGAGAAATTTAAAGTGATGCAAACTACAAGAAATTTGAAGGGCTAGATAGGTAAAGAACTAAAACAACAAGTTCTTGGACTTGCATGTTTGAGAGACTCTAATAAGAAGAATAGCTCTCCAATTCATGAAACTCCAGCAATTGTCACAAAGGGTCTCATTTCTCTTTAGCTTGCACAGTGGTATTTATTGCGAAAATAAGTAATTACCAACAAGAATTGTGGTGAAGTAGCAAGTAATCATTCATCCTTAATCAGAGGTCTCGGGTTCGAGCTCCGGATAATAAGTCACATTTGTTAGGAAATGCGATATCCTTCAATGTAGGACTTCTCGATGTGGATCTGAATTCACGCGCACACCGGATGAAAAATCAGAAGAAAAAAAACAAGCGATTGATCCTGGGCAGCGTGGCGTCGATCTTCTTTATTTCACACTCTGAGACACAAGGAGATAATCTAGTAGCTTGTATTTAAGAAATGTGTTAATCTTAGTTAAGAGTTGTACTTGAGTTTAACAAAACAGAACTTTCAATTCAGCTACTGGCAGAGGCGAATCTAGAATTTTAAATTTATGAGTTCTACAATGATCTCAAGTTAAAATACAATGATAATCGAACCAATGAACCGGATTTCAAACTAAATATTCTTATACATTTAATGAATATTTTAGTACAAATATAGGGTCTAAACCAAAAGTTACTGATTTACATGGACGCGTAATGTTTGCACTAGATCCGCCCCTGGCTACTGATGCTGTGGTGTAATGATTATCATGTTGGTATTACACACTAAAGGTCCTCCAATTCAACCCTGGGCAGCATCATGTATGCTCTTAAGCTTTGTTTCTACAGTCTACACCATCTTTCTGGTCATACATCAACTTGGGATTGAGACGTAGCATCAAACAGAGAATGTTTTAACCATGTTTTTGGTAACACATCTACTTAGAATTGAGGCTTAGCATGAAACCGAGATTATTTTCAAGTCAAGCACGAGACTCGTGGAACACAAAATTGATCGATTTTGTCTCTCGTTTCCTCTCACCATTCTACACAAGTCTTTAGAAACTAAAAACACCAAGAATCCAAGATAAGGGAAGAAATGAAATGAAAATCACCACTTCCTATTCAAATTTCACATATATACAATACTACAAGTTTTCAAATTGTCAAAAAGTTTGTGGCACCAAAATCAATTGAGAGCATTTACAGACTAGACCCGAAAACAAAATTATCAGCTCTCAACCACCTTATTTCAAATAAATGTGCAGGAACCACATCGTTGCACAATAATATTAACGAAAAACCAGGACTTTCCCCTCTAACAAATCGCTAATTATACTCCAAAATTTTGTTGTTGTTTTCTAGTCAGATATTCTATATACAGTGTTGAACTGTCGACTTTATATACTGCTCAGTAAGGAAGATTTAAGCCATGGCAGCCATGCGAGCGTTTTGGCAGTCGAAGCCCTCTATTCTATTTGGTGATTGAGTTTGCCCAAGTCTTGCCCTTGAACACCTTCCTTTACAACTTGATGAAGGTGAAGATGAAGCTGAAGTAGATGATCTTGGTGATGATGAAAAACGGGGTTGCTTTTCGTTTGTAAAATGAGCATCACGGATTAATGGATTCATAGCCCTGCAAGGCGGTGAACCAGAGAAGAAAGGAGGGGATGATGACAGATCAGATGTGTATTGTGCTGCAGCCACACCATCCTGTTAGACCATGAAGATCATTTTAAAAAATGGCAGGTTGAATCAGTGGCACATTTTTGAGATAAAGCAACAAAAGAAACAGCCATGTGTGTACATGGGTCACATAGACAAATTGACAGTTGAATGTGATCAGGAGAATGGTCAAATTAATATACAGCCCAAATCAGTTAAACCAACACACTAACAAGAGCATCATACCGCTCCACCGGAGTCAAATTTGCTAAGTGCATTTATCAACATTGCATTTCCAACATATCATTAAACAACACAGAAAGAACAAATAACCAACAAATTAAAAAAATTCTACGTTCTGCAATTGGCATAAGCTAACTTGAATCTATTGACCTTTCTATTTTTTTCATCGGGCCTATTCAAGAATATGTGGCATGGGATTAAATCGTGGTACGCGCTAGGAGAAAGATCGTGCTTTGGGATTGAATTATGCTAGAAAATGCACAAAATCATAATTGTGTTTCCATACGGCCCCTTTTAGAAATATTTGCTAGGGCACATTAAGTATTCTCATAAGGACCTTTTGATATCAAGATGGTTAAAACAATTATGAAGTAAAATAATGTATGGAATGATCGGGGCAGACCTAGCTGGCTGATAGAATATTGGCATGTATTAAAGTGGGATAAACAGAACGACAGGGGCATTGCAATCATTTACCAATTATCATTTGATTGGAGTTTCAACTACTCTCAACTTTCAATTTGTCTCATGAAAACATCAAAATGAGATTGACAAAATTGCAACATGCTGAGAGTGTAAAATTGTGTTATGTCGCTTGGAATTCTACACACACTGCCGGCGATGAGGATGATTTTCATAATGACAGTATGCGAACCGTCTAAGATAATGCAAAGCCAACTAACTCAAACACTGCAAGATTTATAATATAAACATCCTTCATGAAGGCATGAAGTTTATGGGTTTGGGATGCCACTGAACCCACTAATCATTAAGTTACTGGGTTCGAAATTTAATATTTCTACATATTTAGTAGATTTCTTGATACATGAAAAGGGTCTGAGCGCTAAAACTACTTGGTTCGGCCAAACTTGTAGCTTTAAATATACATCAGCTGCTTTTATGTACAGATTGCCATAGATCCTGAAGCTTTGACAAACAAGAAAATGTTGACATCACTACATGCATAAAAGCTACATCCTTGAGAAGTTAAGCCAATTCCTATAGAAACAATATAATTCTACTCAAGCAACTTAGCCCGAAACTAGTCGCGTATCGGCTACATGAATCCTCTGTGTCCATTCTGTTCTATATCATGTTGAATCTAAAGGTCTGCACCTCATGGCAGATTCATTATTCAAAGATTCATCGTAGTTAAGACTATTCCTACATTCTCTGTTAACCTATCCCAATCTTTGCCGGAAAATTATACTTGTGTACACAAGGTCAATTTTCTTTTATATATATATATATTAGATGTTGAATCCCCTTGGCTTTTGTCGCATGTTTACTCTTTTTATTTTTTAAATACTTTTGGTGAAAATACTGCCTCTGTCACTACCACAACCGTCCCCATTTAAAAATACTCACTTTTTGCTTTGATTTGAGCAGGTCTCATATTCATTTATAAAGAAGAAAAAAAATATCTTAAGTAATTAAAATATCCACATAGATTCTCGTCATTGTACTGTGGCTAGATACGTAAACAGGAACAAGGTAAACAGAAATGTGAAGGGAAACATACCTCTTTGAGAATGAGATCAATAAGTTCAGCTCCACCTTTTGAAACAAAGGTCTCAGCTTGATTTCTTTTCCACCATCAAACCAAAAACAAAAAAAACAAAACAAAAAAAAGACCCATTAAAGAGAGGATCATGAACATTAATGGGTCATTAAAATCTTGAAAAATTGGGATTAACAAGGATTAGAAATAATTACCTCAAGGGAAGGCAGTTAGAATGGCTAATGGGATCCCCAAGACGACGAGGTTTGGGACAAATGAGCGAACTCATTGGATTAGTGCCGCAATTCAGTGGGCGTGAGTCGGCTACAACCCAATTTTAGTCCGCACCAAGGGAATGGGAAATCCCTATCACCTCTTGAAGGTGGCGCCGGAAAGAGGAAAACAACAGCTACTATTATTTTTCTCCCTACAATTATGGCAAATGGCCTATTTTCCTGAGATTATTAAAGTCCAGGATTCACAGTATATATTTCCATGGCCCTATATTTACCTCCGTCCCATTTTAGGTAAATATTTATCACAATTTAATGTTAGTACTTAAAAATTAAAGTAACATATCTTGCATTAAATACTCTTTTTGGATTTAATAAGTTTGAACTCAATTTATTATTTTCGGGTCAAGTAGATAAAATTTAAATAAAATTTTATACATAGAGAGAGATCAGAGAAGTTCACTAATTTCTTATTTGATCATGTTTTTGGGAAATCAAAAGTGCTTATTTTTGATAGAACTATAGCTTGTTAGGTCGTGCTTCTTTCTGGTAAAAAAATTTTCGGCCAAAAGTATTTTTATCCAAAGTTAGAGTGATACGTGCGTTGCGCGTGTACCTATATTAATAAATACATAATTTTTTAAAAATTACATAAATATTATCAAACTATATATTTGACTAATATGAATTATATAATAAAAGTTAAAGAAATATTCTAGAAAATGCTGAATGTTATTCCCATTTCGTTGGCTCAATAAATGAAGAAATCATGTTCGACATAAGTTTTTAGATGTTTTATGGTGATTTATAAGGAAATATGTGGTCTTATGAAAATTATTGTTATTTTAGTGACTTAATATTGAAAACAAAATATAAAAGAGAATAAAAAAGTTGGTCTTATAGCTCCCAAAAAATTAATATTGAAAATATAAAGTCTAAAAATGACTACCGTTGAATTAATCTTACAATAAATAATTTAATATAAAAAAAATATAGTGAGGCGTCATCATTTGTTGGACTAAATGCAAGAAAAGGAAAAAATGACAACTTATTTACAATACATTTTTTCCCTACTATTTCATCCTTAAATTCTTACAAAAATACATATGATTTATTAGTATAATTTGGATATGTAAATTTCAATATCTTATTTATGCTCATTTAATCTGATTTTCAGACCCCATTTTGTGGAATTTTACTGGATCGTTGTTGTTGCTCACTTATCTGATTGAGTTTGTGCTTTAACATGTAAAAATTCGGCAAAAAATTAAAGTACATTATAGTTATTATTACTATAACTATTATTTTCAAATGTAGTCTTATTATTTGTAAACTTATTTATAGATAATATTTTTACTCGTCCTAATATGTTTATAGCTTTAATTTACGATGTATTAGGAGACTTCAATAGTTGTGAACTTGAAATTACAAAGTCTGAAAAATATTTACGTTTGGGTTAGTATTTGCGATAAATAGTTTAATAAAAAAATATAGTGAGGCTATCATTCATTTGACTGAATGCCAGAAAAGGAAAACATTAAAAATGATGACTTATTTATAATATACTTTATTTTCTACTATTTTATCCTTAAATTTCTTATAAAGAAATACGTACAATATATTACTATTAATTTAGATATATAAATTTCGGTATCTTATTTATGCTTTAATTATCTATTGGGTTTGTGCTTTGATATGTATAAGTTTAACAAAAAATTTAAAATACATTATCATTTATTATTACTATAATATAAGTATAATTATTTTGAAAATTATATTCCTGTCTTTTGTAAACTTATTTATAGATATATATTTTGCTCGTCATGTTACGTCTATAGGTTTGATTTATGATTTATAGGTTTGATTTATGATGTATAGAAAATTTCAATAGTTTTTGAGTTAAAATTAAATCTATTCTTTTATTGGTAAATTTTAATGTACATGTACCCTTTAATTATTTTAAGTTATTTGTTGTAAAGTCGTTGATAGTGAATAACCTTTGGAATATTTACACTGAAAGAGTGACATTTTGAATTTAAGAAAAAAAAAGAATAAGGAGTTCTCACGGCAGGAGACTTTATTTGCTTCCCCTGCTTATTCCCTTCCATTTAATGTCACTTTATTTTTACTAAAATAGTAAAATTCTAAAGAATTAAAGGAGTCCGACTTCTAAGTACACGCTAGCTTCCTACTTTGACTTTCCTAGTATTTCTTTTACATATATGGTATATTATATAGTTAAATAAGGAAAAAGATAATATAAAAAATTTAGGTGATTTTGAAGTCCTTAATATTAGAAAAATAGTTAAATGACTATTTTGTCTAACGTGTACTCTATTTTTAAAAATTAAAAANAACTATTCTGTCTAGTGTGTACTCTATTTTTAAAGGTTAAAAAAAGCGAACGACATTTCGCTAAGGGCCTTTGTGCTTTTAATATAGTATAGATTTTTTTCGGCCAAAAGCATTTTTACCCAAAGTTAGAGTGATTGATCAAGCTTTTAGAAGATTAAAGAAAAAAGTTCTTTTGAATAGAAACAAAAGTAGTTTTTAAGAAGCACAAAAAATTAGATTGTCCCAAAAAGTATTTTTCTTAAAAATTACTTTTAAGAAATAAACTTAAAAGCACATTTTAAAAGCTTGGTCAAACATTAATTGCTGCTTAAAAATATTTTTCAAATTGATTAGCGAAAAACAAACTGCTTCTCGCTAGAAGTACTTTTTTGAAAAGCACTTTTGAGAAACACTTTTCGCACAGTCAAACAGGCTATTACAACAACAACGACCCAGTAAAATTTCACAAGTGAAGTCTGGAAAGGGTAGTGTTTACGCAGACCTAATGTAACACCCCGTTAATTCGTCTTAGGTGTGAATGTGTTAAATGAGTGGTAAGGTTATACCTTGAACATGTAAGGTCCCATCGGGATGATTATGGGTGAAAATAGTTATTTCAAAATCAAGATGGAAAGTGAGATGTATAAGATTTGACAAAATCGACTAAGTTTGCAGAAGGTTCGTATTCCAGCAGGTTTTAGTGAAAATAAGTAAGGAATTTGGGAAAACTTAGAGCATGAAAGTTGTAGGCCTTTGAAATAGATTTCCAACTATATATTATGGAGCCCGAACGGATCTCTGTGCAAAAAGTTATACGCGTTCTACAGAACAGTATGTGATATGCGCGCCGGTAGCGCGGCCGCGCTAATTTTGAGGCAGTGTTACTGCCGTTTAGCGCGGGCAGGCCTCCAGATACACGGGCGTGCTAGTGGAGGGGTCGTTTTAAAGCTATATTTCGTCCCCCATACCCCCAAAACATAAAAACTTGCTCTAGAAAGAGGAACTCTCAAAAACCTAACTTCTTAAGGGTCCTTCCACCACCCAAGGTAAGTTCTAATGGTGATTCTAAGTTAATTTTAATTTACCAACATCTTATTAACATGGGTAAACCCTCCATATCATTAGATATTCTATTGGGACATCATTGTCGAGAGAAGGAAGCCTAGAACTCGAATTCAAAGGGTTTGAACTTCAAAAAGGTAATGTCTTCACCCTCTAATTGATTCTAGCATTTGTTTAATGATTATAAACCCTAGTTCATGAGATATGAGTTGATGAGTTTGATAGAAAAGCATGAACGATTATAGGATTGGGGTGTTGAGTGTTGATTATTGGATAAGGGTGTTGTTTACATTATGGGTGATGAAGAATAATGTTGATATAATCATTTGAGACTTTAAAATTTATCTAGGAATAAGAGAATGGGTTGTTTTGTGTAGAGACACCATTAATAAGGACTATGAAGCTTTATTTTGACCAAGTATTTGATAAAATGCTTAAGTGACCAAAACATGGGCATCATAGCTAATATGGAATCCCTTTGACTTGTATTGCTACGGATTAAAGTTGAAAGGGTTGACAAATATTGTATTACGCTCAAGGGCAGGAAGTTAAGGTATGTAAGGCTAACTCTTTACGTTTGGGAATGTCCATGATTCTCCCTACGTCCCATTCATTATGACCATTACCAGTTTCCTCAGAAAATAACTATGCCTCAGCTCCCTGAATAGTAGTAGAACTTCTATTCTCTAGATGGCATAGTCTCATAATCATTCGATATTCTATGAGTTTCAGTTATGATAAATCAACTTATTATGAATACTCATCTCAGTCTAACCTATCACTAATCCAGTATCATGTAACTTGGTATGGCTCATTATTTCAGTATCATGTATTGTAATATGATTCTCAGTTCCTGATTTTATATTCTTGAATGTTGAACACCTGTATTTGGGCCTGAGGTCACAGTTTATGCTTTATGCATTTTGGACCTGAGGTCGCAGTTATGCATACGTATACATGGGCCTGAGGCCGCAGTTGTGCATATATATATATACATATTGGGCCTGAGGCCGCAGTTTAATATTCAGTTAAACAGGTTGTTCATTATTCAGAAGAGGGAGTATTCACATCCTTACTTCCTTATTCAGTTATCACTTTATCAGCCAGCAGTTCAGTTTCAGTTTCAGTATTTACAGTTCTTTTGTTCAGCTATTTTACATACCAGTACAATTCAAATGTACTGACGTCCCTTTTGCCCGGGGCCTGTATCTCGCGATGCAGGTAACGATTTTTAGGTTGACGATTCTGCTTGCTAGGACATCGTATCAGCTATTGATGAGCCCCAGTCTTCTGAGGCCTTATCTCTCTTTTGTTTTAGTCATTATAGTATTTCAGTTAATAAGGTATACCGGGGACCTTGTCCCGGTAAACAGTTAGTATTTTCAGTATATCTTTAGAGGCTTCGTAGACTATAACCCAGTCAGTCAAATATTAGTAGGCTTTCATGTGTTAGCCTTGTCGGCTACTTGTTTATACTGGCAGACCTTTCAGTATTTTCCGCATCTATGGTATTTCAGTCAGACTCCTTAGTAGATTACCATGTTTTATATTTACCTCTAGCTCATAGTTATACCACATGTTGATCCAGCCATGCAGTTGGTTCGCTCGGTCATATGCAGTTAGGCACCGAGTGTCGTGTTACGCCCAGACCATGGTTCGGGGCGTGACAAAGCTTGGTATCTGAGCCCTAGGTTCAAAAGTCCTATGGATTCTATGAAGTCGAGTCCAGTGGAGTCTCTTTTATGTGTGTGTGCATGCCATGCATGTAAATAGTTGACCACCAAGACATCTAGGATTGTTCCATTTCTTTCATACTCTAGA